ATGTCAAGCAACTTCTGAAGAAGAATCAAAAAGCATAGAATCTTATAATAATATTTTGCTGGTAGTTTCAACAGATGGAGCCAACAAAGTTTGCGAGGGAAATATTTTTAGTGCAATATGATATTTAATGAGAATATTTTGCTATGACTGCTTAAATATTCAGGTGAGCGATACAGGCCCTCTTGGGCCTCTTGTATTAGATACCAATACTTTTTCTTAGGGAACAAATCTATCTTGCTCCGTCTGGTGGCTCTGTCTAACAATGATGGTTTACTCGACTGATTAGCCACATAATGGCAGTGTACAGGCAATTTTCAGAAAGGTGCTCTAAACCAATTAATTTCTGTGAAATGTCTTTTTTACCTTCATTCATCCAAATAGTGGAAAACCAATTCTGCTATCCCAAAAATAACTAAACATATTCAGACAATTATCTACCAATATTCAGACAAATATCTACCAGTATTCAGATAAATATCTACAAGTAATCACACAAATATCTACAAGTATTCAGACAAATATCTACCAGTATTCAGACAATATCTACCAGTATTCAGACAAATATATATACATGTACCTGGTAATCAGACAAATATTTACAAGTAATCAGACAAATATCTACCAATATTCTGAAACATATCTACCAGTATTCAGATAAAGATCTACAAGTAATCACACAAATATCTACAAGTATTCGGACAAATATCTACCAGTATTCAGTCAAATATCTACATGTACCTGGTAATCAGACAAATATTTACAAGTAATCAGACAAATATCTACCAATATTCTGAAAAATATCTACCAGTATTCAGACAATATCTACCAGTATTCAGACAAATAACTACAAGTATTCAGACAAATATCTGCAAGTATTCAGACAAATATCTACCCGTATTCAGACAAATATCTACATGTATTCAAACAAATATCTACATGTATTCAGACAAATATCTACCAGTCTTCAGACAAATATCTACAAGTATTCAGATAAATATCTACAAGGATTCAGAGAAATATCTACAAGTATTCAGACAAATATCTCCCAGTATTCAGACAAATATCTACATGTCCCTGGTAATCAGACAAATATCTACCAGTATTCTGAAAAATATCTACCAGTTTTCAGATAAATATCTACCAGTATTCAGACAATATCTACCAGTATTCAGACAAATATTTACAAGTATTCAGATAAATATCTACCAGTAATCTGACAAATATCTACCAGTATTCGGGCAAATATCTACCAGTATTCAGACAAATAACTACAAGTATTCAGACAAATATCTGCAAGTATTCAGACAAATATCTACCAGTATTCTGAAAAATATCTACCAGTTTTCAGATAAATATCTACCAGTATTCAGATAAAGATCTACAAGTAATCACACAAATATCTACAAGTATTCGGACAAATATCTACCAGTATTCAGTCAAATATCTACATGTACCTGGTAATCAGACAAATATTTACAAGTAATCAGACAAATATCTACCAATAATCTGAAAAATATCTACCAGTATTCAGACAATATCTACCAGTATTCAGACAAATAACTACAAGTATTCAGACAAATATCTCCCAGTATTCAGACAAATATCTACAAGAATTCAGACAAATATCTACAAGTAATCAGACAAATATCTACCAGTATTCAGCTACCAGTAATCAGACAAATATCTACCAGTATTCAGCTACCAGTAATCAGACAAATATCTACCAATATTCTGAAAAATATCTACCAGTTTTCAGATAAATATCTACCAGTATTCAGATAAATATTTACAAGTATTCAGATAAATATCTACAAGGATTCAGAGAAATATCTACAAGTATTCAGACAAATATCTACCCGTATTCAGACAAATATCTACATGTACCTGGTAATCAGACAAATATTTACAAGTAATCAGACAAATATCTACCAATAATCTGAAAAATATCTACCAGTATTCAGACAATATCTACCAGTATTCAGACAATATCTACCAGTATTCAGACAATATCTACCAGTATTCAGACAAATAACTACAAGTATTCAGACAAATATCTACATGTACCTGGTAATCAGACAAATATTTACAAGTAATCAGACAAATATCTACCAGTATTCGGGCAAATATCTACCAGTATTCAGATAAAGATCTACAAGTAATCACACAAATATCTACAAGTATTCGGACAAATATCTACCAGTATTCAGATAAATACCTACAAGTAATCACACAAATATCTACAAGTATTCGGACAAATATCTACCAGTATTCAGCTACCAGTAATCAGACAAATATCTACCAATATTCTGAAACATATCTACCAGTATTCAGATAAAGATCTACAAGTAATCACACAAATATCTACAAGTATTCAGACAAATATCTACCCGTATTCAGACAAATATCTACATGTACCTGGTAATCAGACAAATATTTACAAGTAATCAGACAAATATCTACCAGTATTCAGCTACCAGTAATCAGACAAATATCTACCAATATTCTGAAAAATATCTACCAGTATTCAGACAATATCTACCAGTATTCAGACAAATATCTACAAGTATTCAGACAAATATCTACAAGTATTCAGACCAACACTGCTGGTATTCAGACAAATGTATAAAAGGATTCAGATAAATATCTACAAGTGTTCTGACAAATATATAACTACCAGTATTCAGACAAATATCTACCAGTTTTCAGATAAATATCTACCAGTATTCAGACAAATATCTACATGTACCTGGTAATCAGACAAATATTTACAAGTAATCAGACAAATATCTACCAGTATTGTGAAAAATATCTACCAGTATTCAGATAAATATCTTCCAGTATTCAGACAAATATCTACCGGTATTCAGACAAATATCTACAAGTAATCTTACAAATATCTACCAGTATTCAGACAAATATCTACCAGTATTCAGGTAAATATCTACAAGTAATCAGACAAATATCTACCAGTATTGTGAAAAATATCTACCAGTATTCAGATAAATATCTTCCAGTATTCAGACAAATATCTACCGGTATTCAGACAAACATCTACAAGTAATCTGACAAATATCTACCAGTATTCAGACAAATATTTACAAGTATTCAGATAAATATCTACCAGTATTCAGATAAATATCTACAAGTAATCTGACAAATATCTACAAGTATTCAGACAAATATCTACAAGTTTTCAGACCAACACTGCTGGTATTCAGACAAATGTATAAAAGGATTCAGATAAATATCTACAAGTGTTCTCACAAATATATAAAAATATTCAAACAAATAAATACTAGTATTCAGACAAATATCTACCAGTATTCAGACAAATATCTACAAGTTTTCAGACAAATATCTACAAGTAATCTGACAAATATCTACCGGTATTCAGACAAATATCTACAAGTAATCTGACAAATATTTACAAGTATTCAGACAAATATCTACCAGTTTTCAGACAAATATCTACCAGTTTTCAGATAAATATCTACCAGTATTCAGACAAATATCTACAAGTTTTCAGACCAACACTGCTGGTATTCAGACAAATGTATAAAAGGATTCAGATAAATATCTACAAGTGTTCTGACAAATATATAACTACCAGTATTCAGACAAATATCTACCAGTATTCAGACAAATATCTACCAGTTTTCAGACAAATATCTACCAGTTTTCAGATAAATATCTACCAGTATTCAGACAAATATCTACAAGTATTCAGACAAATATCTACCAGTAATCAGACAAATATCTACCAGTATTCTGAAAAATATCTACCAGTATTCAGATAAATATCTACCAGTTATCAGACAAATATTTACCAGTATTCAGACAAATATCTACCAGTATTCAGACAAATATCTACCGGTATTCAGACAAATATCTACAAGTAATCTGACAAATATCTACCAGTATTCAGACAAATATCTACAAGTAATCAGGTAAATATCTACAAGTAATCAGACAAATATCTACAAGTAATCAGACAAATATCTACCAGTATTCAGACAAATATCTACCAGTATTCAGACAAATATCTTAAAATATTCAGACCAACACTACTGGTATTCAGACAAATATATAAAAGGATTCAGATAAATATCTACAAGTGTTCTGACAAATATATAAAAATTTTCAAACAAATATCTACTAGTATTCAGACAAATATCTACAAGTACTTAGACAAATATCTACTGGTATTCAAATAAATATCTACGAACAACAGACACTTTTTAACTTAAAAATATGAATTGGTTATTTTCTCATTTAGTTAATTGCATGAACTTACAAATCATTATTACTCTATTTAATTGTCTGATACTACAGAAAAATGGAAGGTTATTGATTTGGTAAGATTTTCTTAAATCATTTTCAGCAATTTAGTTTTGGGTAATTGCGGCTTTCATCTCCTTTGTATTTTGTTTCTGCCCTGATTATAAAGAGTGCTTATATAAAACACTCAAACAGTATTATTGGGTCAAAAAGGACCTTCTGTCGACACTTGATATAGTGATATATTTGATTGATTTACTTGTTTGTAGAAATACTGTCACTTAGGTTTTGAGTTTCTCCTCCAAGTTATATTAGTTTGTATGAGATTTATTTTCAGAGGATTTTGACAAAAATCTCTTTGATGCCTCAAAATTTTCTTACACCTGGTAACCATATTTTAAAATTTCAAATTCAAATAAAAAAAATTATCATCTCGCCAGTTTAAAGAAAATTAAAGAAGTAAAAAACATATATCTTTTTTTTTTTAAGTAGGAATTTGTATTAAAGAACTTGTATATGTTACAGGGATGAAATGAAGCAGTGTGTCCGACCTAACAGTCAAGAGATGGACAGCCTCATACAGCAGGAAAAACGCCAAGCTGAGAAACAGTACGAGAGTGAGCTCCGTACCCAACACGACAAGTAAGCTTTAATCACTATAACAGCTTTAACGAGGTTGTAAAACCTGATAACTGCCATGCTTAGTAAACTTTGTTATAGCATGAGTAAGCTTATAGGGGCTCAAATACTGCATTGATCAGTAAGCTTTGTTTGGTAACAACATGATGGAGCTTATAGGGGCTCGAATACTGCATTGCTCAGTATATGTTAATCTAAAGTTGTAAACTTTGTCAGCCTATAACATTACAGCAGACAGACCAATCAGAAACAGTTGTAAAAGTTGGCTATATTTGCTTTGTGCCAGATTTTGTCATGTTGTTTTTGTTAGAAGTTTGGCATGGCTAAAGTGCAGTCACCAGTTGGCGGGGCTTAACCTGATTGAATGATGGTTCTAATGCAGACTAAATCATGATCTGTATCCAGTCAAAACATGTACTGCACACAAATCATGATCTGTAGCCAGTCAAAACATGTATAGCACACAAATCATGATCTGTATCCAGTCAAAACATGTATAACACATAAATCATGATCTGTATCCACTCAACACAGGTATAGCAAACAAATCATGATCTGTATCCACTCAAAACAGGTATATCACACAAATCATGATCTTTATATGCACTCAAAACAGGTATAGCACACAAATCATGATCTTTATCCAGTCAAAACAGGTATAGCACACAAATCATGATCTGAATCCAGTCAAAACATGTATAACACACAAATCATGATCTGTATCCACTCAAAACAGGTATATCACACAAATCATGATCTTTATATCCACTCAAAACAGGTATAGCACACAAATCATAATCTGTATCCACTCAAAACATGTATAGCACATAAATCATGATCTGTATCCAGTCAAAACATGTCACACAAATCATGATCTGTATCCAGTCAAAACATCTACTGAACCCAAATCATGATCTGTATCCACTCAAAACATGTATAGCACATAAATCATGATCTGTATCCAGTCAAAACATGTATAGCACACAAATCATGATCTGTATCCAGTCAAAACATGTATAACACATAAATCATGATCTGTATCCACTCAAAACAGGTATAGCAAACAAATCATGATCTGTATCCAGTCAAAACATGTATAGCACATAAATCATGATCTGTATCCAGTCAAAACATGTCACACAAATCATGATCTGTATCCAGTCAAAACATGTACTGCACACAAATCATGATCTGTATCCAGTCAAAACATGTCACACAAATCATGTAAGAATATCATTTAACAATTCTTCCTCTTCAGAAATAATCCAATAACATAATGTTTGTTTGGAGACAAAGAGCTAAATTCCTTTGATCCCATGACAACTGTAAGCCATGCTTACAGAAAACCTTAATCAGGCCTAGTCAATTAACAGCTGACCAGACTGTAACGATGAGGGCTGAAAACCTTAATCAGGCCTAGTCAATTAACAGCTGACCAGACGGTAACGATGAGGGCTGAAAACCTTAATCAGGCCTAGTCAATTAACAGCTGACCAGACGGTAACGATGAGGGCCTAAAACCTTAATCAGGCCTAGTCAATTAACAGCTGACCAGACGGTAACGATGAGGAGCTTTATGACAGATAAACTCTTAATTCAAAATTTAAACACAATGCAACAAGACAGAAACAACCTTAAGTTGTTTTAATCATAGTAAACCATAATTTCACATTGTATATACAAAAATATACAACACCACTATACAGACCTACAGCTATCCTATCTTACCAACCCTACAAAAAACTAACACTGGCTTTTCAGGGGATACTCATATGACTATTTATATGTAAATCTACCAAACTATTGTTAAAACTGGTAGACTTCTACCATCTATTATGTATCACTATTAATATTTGGGAGGGGGGGACTTTCCCTGTGTGGGGCGAACTTGGGACCATAACATTACTAATCCGACACACAACTGATGTCATTACACCAGATCAATTACGTGGGTGTAAATTTACAAATGTAACGCTTCTATAGACAAAGGAAAAACTGGAGAGAAAAAAGAAAAAAGAAATACTGATATGAACTGGTGTATGTACATCCGTTAATTTACAGAAGTACCCTCTACCTTACACTATACATCAAGTAAGAACATTATAAAATATTAGTCAAACAGTACAGGGTCTAAACAGTCTGATGAATTCAGCTTCCTTAGCCTCACATTCCATAACATCTGCATTGTTCATTTGATAAATAGGAAATATTTAAATATTTTGTTGCATTTGCGAATCATATGTCTGGCCATATAAGGTCATGCACATTTAGATGTATTACCCTGTGATCATATGTCTGGCCATATAAGGTCATGCACATTTAGATGTAATACACTGTGATCATAAGTCTGGTCATGCAGGGTCACATTTAGATGTATTACCCTGAGATCATAAGTCATGTCATGTAGGGTCACATTTAGAGCTTGCAACAGAAATGGCCCCGATATTAACCTTAATGTTTAATCAGTCTCTGGAAACAGGCATAGTGCCTTCAGACTGGAAATCAGCAAATGTATCACCTGCTTATAAAAAAGGTCCAAAATTTCACCCAGAAAACTACAGGCCCATATCTCTTACCTGTATCTGTAGCAAAATTAACACATTGTGGTCTCAACTATCATGACCCATGCCGATACCCATAACATATTGTATCCGTTTCAACATGGTTTCCGCAAATCGCGATCATGCGAAACCCAACTTTTTGAATTTGTGGATGACATCTCAAAGAATCTTGATGAGGGACGCCAAACAGATATCCTCATAATGGACTTTGCTAAGGCTTTCGACAAGGTCAGTCATTCTCTCCTAAACCATAAACTAAAACATTATGGTATACGTGGAAATGTCGCAAACTGGATCGAGAGTTTCCTGACCGGTAGAACTCGGACAGTAGTAGTTGAAGGGGAGAAGTCTGATTTTGTCGATGTCCATTCCGGGTACCCCAGGGGTCAGTTTTGGAACCCAGTTTATTTCTTTACTTTATAAACGATATCTCTGTGGGTCTAAATGCTACAATTCGTTTATTTGCAGACGACACTATTGCATATCTAGTTATCAAGTCAAACAGTGATGCTGAAACACTTCAAAAAGATCTAGCGCTCTGGGAAAATACATGGAAAATGATCTTCCACCCAAACAAATGCAATGTGTTGTCGGTGACTAAAAACAAAACTCCAATAGTCCATAATTATACTTTACATGGACACATACTGGAACATCTTAGTCAGGCCAAGTATCTGGGTGTAACACTATCATCTGACCTTAAATGGGATTCACATATAAATACTATCTGCCCAAAAGCAAAATCTACGCTAAGGCTTTTTAAGACGAAATCTTAAAATTGGCTCAACATCAGCCAAAGTACAGGCATACAAATCATTAGTTCGACCATCACTTGAGTATGCCTGTACAGTATGGGACCCTCACACCCAAACAAATATTGACAAGTTGGAAATGGTCCAGCGAAGGGCAGCGCGCTATGTGCTCAATAAGCACAGGTACAACCATCGTACCTCCAGTGTGTCAGAAGTGTTGGACCACCTAAAGCTGCACCCTCTAGCAGATAGACGAAGATCTAGAGATGCTCGTCTGACCATGCTTCATAACATTGTAAACCAGAAAGTCGCTATCGTAAAATCAGACAGATTAATCCCTACAGTTAGAAAATCCTGAACAAACCACCAGTTTTCGTATCAAATTCTCCACTCAAAAACCCTTGAACTATACCCAAGTGGAATAAACTCCCACCTGACTTTATTTCGAGCCCCACAACGGAATTATTCAAATCAGCCCTCTACCGTCACTTTTCAAACGCAAATTAGACCATCTCGTATCTTTTAAAAACAATCTCTTTCCATGTTTCACTCCTCGTCTGACATTTTATCTTCAAATTGTTGAAGTTGGTCAGTACAATTTAGAAGGAGAAGATGTATTACCCTGTGAACAAAAGTCTGGTCATGTAGGGTCACATTTAGATGTATTAGCCTGTGATCAGGTGTCTGGTGATCATGTAGGGTCACATTTAGATGTATTACCCTGACATCTTAAGTCATGTCATGTAGGGTCACATTTAGATGTATTACCCTGTGATCATAAGTCATGTCATGTAGGGTCACATTTAGATGTATTACCCTGTGATCAAAAGTCTGGTCATGTAGGGTCACATTTAGATGTATTAGCCTGTGATCATGTGTCTGGTGATCATGTAGGGTCACATTTAGATGTATTACCCTGAGATCTTAAGTCATGTCATGTAGGGTCACATTTAGATGTATAACCCTGTGATCATAGGTCATGTCGTGTAGGGTCACATTTAGATGTATTACCCTGTGATCAAAAGTGGTCATGTAGGGTCACATTTAGATGTATTACCCTGTGATCATGTGTCTGGTGATCATGTAGGGTCACATTTAGATGTATTAGCCTGTGATCATAATTCATGTCATGTAGGGTCACATTTAGATGTATTACCCTGTGATCATGTGTCTGGTGATCATGTAGGGTCACATTTAGATGTATTACCATGTGATCATAGGTCATGTCGTGTAGGGTCACATTTAGATGTATTACCCTATGATCATGTGTCTGGTCATGTAGGGTCACATTTAGATGTATAACCCTGTGATCATAGGTCATGTCGTGTAGGGTCACATTTAGATGTATTAGCCTGTGATCATAATTCATGTCATGTAGGGTCACATTTAGTTATATTACCCTGTGATCATATGTCTGATCATGTAGGGTCACATTTAGATGTATTACCATGTGATCATAGGTCATGTCGTGTAGGGTCACATTTAGATGTATTAGCCTGTGATCATAAGTCATGTCATGTAGGGTCACATTTAGATATATTACCCTGAGATCATAAGTCATGTTATATAGGGTCACATTTAGATGTATTAGCCTGTGATCATAAGTCATGTCATGTAGGGTCACGTTTAGATGTATTACCCTGAGATCATAAGTAATGTCATCTAGGGTCACATTTAGATGTATTACCCTGAGATCATAAGTCAATTCATGTAGGGTCACATTTAGATGTATTACCCTGTGATCATAAGTCATGTCATGTAGGGTCACGTTTAGATGTATTACCCTGAGATCATAAGTAATGTCATCTAGGGTCACATTTAGATGTATTACCCTGAGATCATAAGTCAATTCATGTAGGGTCACATTTAGATGTCTTAGCCTGTGATCATAAGTCATGTCATTTAGGGTCACATTTAGATGTCTTAGCCTGGGATCATAAGTCATGTCATGTAGGGTCATATTTAGATGTATTAACATGAGATCATAAGTCTGGCCATGTAGGGTCACATTTAGATTTATTACCCTGTGATCATAAGTCAGGGCATGTAGGGTGACATTTAGATGTCTTAGCCTATGATCATAAGTCATGTCATTTAGGGTCACATTTAGATGTCTTAGACTGTGATCATAAGTCATGTCATGTAGGGTCACATTTAGATGTATTACCCTATGATCATGTGTCTGGTCATGTAGGGTCACATTTAGATATATTACCCTGTGATCATATGTCTGATCATATAGGCTCATGTTTAGATGTATTACCCTGCGATCATGTGTCTGATCATGTAGGGTCATATTTAGATGTATTAACATGAGATCATAAGTCTGGCCATGTAGGGTCACATTTAGATATATTAGCCTGTGATCATAAGTCATGTCATGTAGGGTCACATTTAGTTATATTACCCTGTGATCATATGTCTGATCATGTAGGGTCACATTTAGATGTATTACCCTATGATCATAAGTCTGGCCATGTAGGGTCACATTTAGATGTATTACCCTGAGATCATAAGTCTGGCCATGTAGGGTCACATTTAGATGTATTA